TTGCGGTCTGTACGGGCGCGGATCCCAGCCGGTTGTAAACTCCGACGTTCGTCCGACTTTTCCGCCTGGGAATGTCCCCTTAATCCTTTTCGTTTAAAAAAAGCAATTTCTAATGAAATCTGTTTTCTAAAAAAAAATTCTAACAAGTTTTGATCTCTAAAAAAGTTTTTCTAAAAAGTTATGATTTCTAATATTACACGGAGATAAATTTCTATGAATATTTACCGTGCTGCCACCTGAAACTGTGTTCAAAGTGTATTCCTGCAGTTTTTACAATGCTGCCTCTACAATTTTGCATTACAGGTTGTAGAGCTAATTTTAATTGCTATTATATGGATAGCAATTACATTAGGTACTCCATCTACTAAATATTAGCTAGGCGTTGTTAGCTATAGCAGCTAATAATCTAGCTAACAAAACAGCAAAAATAACTAATATACCTGGCTAATACTGCCGTCCAGTTTAAAAAAGGCACTATCTACATATTTTATGAAAAATGAGTTTTTTATACCGTTGGATTCGTAATGAAAAGACGAATCTAATTGTCGTATTCGTAATTGAAAATTTTAATTAGATTAGAAGATAATTAGCGGTTAATTAAACTATCTACAGAGATTTTCGAGAAATATTTTTTAAAGTGTCACTATCTGCAGAAGGAACCGACCTATCTACAAAATTTTCAGGATTCTCAACCCACTTGACCCCTGAAATCCTGTACATAGGTTAGTCAGTAAACTGATCTCAAAAGTCACAAAAGTAGAGAACTATGCCCAACGGGAAGTTGCCAATGGTAACGATTGGTTCAATAATGGGCCATGCTTGGTGCCCAATGATTTTTTCTTGGCAAAACAATTGGCAACCATCATTGGACCACCAATGGTTTAAACTTGGGATGATCACGCTACTGCCAATGATCGTTAGCCAAGCATCGGGCCAATATTAGTTGCCAAGGAATTGCCAAGGAAACAAAATCGATTTTCAAAAGCTTGATTTTTTATTGGCAGCCAACAAAAAACCAAGGTTTTGAAAATTGATTTTTTTTTAATTATTAATTAAAATTTATTTAAAAAAAATATATATTTTTCAATAATATATATTTTTTTAAATTAATAGAACATATTAATTAAATTTTTCACCTCTGGTAAAACAAAGGTGAAAGACTGATAAAAATTCCCTCACCGTATCTCACGGTGGAGGGATAACTGTGAATGTCTTTGCAAGAGTGGAGCAGGTACTTATAGAGCCAGTGTAACAGGTCACAAGCGAGAAGAAATCACTAGCATGCACTCTGGCGGCGATTGTCGGAACTGTTTTCTGTCGCGCATGCATATCCTGACATTATCGACACAGCGCTTGGCAACCAACGTTGCGCCACTTCCGACAAGCGCCGCCAGAGTGCATGCTAGTGATTTCTTCTCGCTTGTGACCTGTTACACTGGCTCTATAAGTACCTGCTCCTCTCTCGCAAAGACATTCACAGTTATCCCTCCACTGTGAGATACGGTGAGGGAATTTTTATCAGTCTTTCACCTTTGTTTTACCAGAGGTGAAAAATTTAATTAATATGTTCTATTAATTTAAAAAAATATATATTATTGAAAAATATATTTTTTTTAAATAAATTTTAATTAATAATTAAAAAAAAATCAATTTTCAAAACCTTGGTTTTTTGTTGGCTGCCAATAAAAAATCAAGCTTTTGAAAATCGATTTTGTTTCCTTGGCAATTCCTTGGCAACTAATATTGGCCCGATGCTTGGCTACCGATCATTGGCAGTAGCGTGATCATCCCAAGTTTAAACCATTGGTGGTCCAATGATGGTTGCCATTAATGTTCCAATAATGGAACGGAGTTTGCCAAGCATGGCCCATTATTGAACCAATCGTTTACTTCCTATTGGGTGTACATAGTGACGTTTTTCGTACATATTTTTCTCGAACTTTGGTTAACTTTCTCCCGGAGAGAGCACTATCTACAAGTTTTACTATGAAAATAAAATAAAAATAATAAAATAATTTACAAATAAAGCTTTTATTTTGTACTAACACATATATTTAATGCAAATTAAAAAACAATTTTTTTTTTTGTAAAGTTAACATTTAATTTAATAAAAATTTAAGGCAGAACATGATAATCAAATAAAATAAAGTTATAATGGTAAATAAAATTTATGTATTGAGGGGCTGATAGTAAAAATGGTTTAAAATAATAACGAGAGCAAAAGTGGAATAAGTGACTTAGAAGCAAAAATAGATTAAAATGATTGTGTAATTTCTTGATAAATTAATTATAATAATTACAAAATATTAATTCAAATAAAATAAGTTTTTTTATTATTGACAATATTTTTTAAGCATTAATATAATTAATTTATCAATAAATTACATAATCATTTTAACCCGTTTTTGCTCTCAAGTCACTTATTTCCACTTTTGCTCCCGTTATTATTTTAAACCATTTCACTATCAGCCCCTCTATTGTTCGTGATTTTTTGTTCGGTATTTTCAAAATTAAAACATATAATATAATAATAAATAAAATAAAATATAAAATAATAATAAAAATATAACAGAAATAAAGGATTGTGTTAGAAAATAATGTAGATAGTGACGCTTTAAACAGGAAAGTGGACCGACAAAGCAATTTTAAACGTACTATCTACCACATAGTGCACTTTTCATGTATTCTCCATAATTTTCGGATAAAAAATGTACACTATCTACAGTTTTATTAATAAATAATTAAAATTAATAATTTTTTTTGCACCAATGAAAAGAGCGTGTCCGAATTAGTCAAGAATATAAGTTTATTTACAAAATTTTAAATTTTATTAAGAGATCCAGATGCAAACGCGTTTCCTTCAATATCTCCGATTGAGCTAAAATGTAGATAGTGTCTTTTTTAAAAAGGACGGCAGAATATTATTAGTTCTAATAATGCTTTTATTTTACATTTAGATTTTACATTATACGAATTTTTAATATTCTCTCTTCTGGAAAGAGATAAATTTTCAATAATTTTGAACCTAAAATTAATAAACTAATTTATAAAAATATAATATTAAGGGGGTCACCCCGTGTGACAGACGTTTTTTAAGAGTTTTTTGGGATTCTCTTTTTAAGAACCATGGAAACTAAGGACTTCAAAATTTTTACCATATCTTCAGTTACATTTTAACAACAAATTAAAATTTTTGCAAGTGAAAATATTTTAATGATTCCGTATTATAAAACTGGAAAGTAATGATGATCATAAAAACGCCGTCTATCGGCGACCACGATACTGACTAATTGACTGAACTAAAATCAAAAAATCAAAAGGCATTTTAATCTGTGAGGATGTAGCTATAGCCGGAACCAGAATCATTTAAAAATATTGAAAATTGAATTTTTTACGCGACTTTGAAATTTTTTTGGTCTTTTTTCTTGCATAAAATAGAAACAACTTGACCTTTTTCAATTATCCTGGTTCGGGCGATAGCCATACAAGTGCTGAACACGCCCTATAAATTTGTGCGATATTGGTCAAGCCGTTTTTGAGATATCGTGGTCGCCAGTTTGGAAAACACAGTTTTGAGAAAAACGCCTATCAAAGCTTAAGTAATACATTGTTCGCTTGGCAACTCCTTGTCTTCTCAGTGCTGTAACTTTCTTAGGATGTCAAATATCAAAAATCTTCTTTACCCACATATTCTACACATATTGTAGATGTGATTTATGAAAAAAAAAATTTTCGATTTTTTGAACCCATCACACGGGGTGACCCCCTTAATACATAAGAAAAACTAAAATGAAAATGTATAAAAAAAAGTTATAATGTTGAATTGATACATATATTAAAGTTTATCTCTTACTTTCAGATTTTTCTACACAATCCTCATGAGTTTCTTTCTGAATATTGTTAGAAAATTTTTTTTTTTGAAAATTACCTTTATAAGAAAAAAAAATCTTTAGAAAGGACCTTTATTAGAAAAAAGAAAATTAGAAAATCACCTTCACTAGAAAAAAGTTTTTTAGAAATTCATCTTCATTAGAAAAAAACGTTTTAGACAATAAAAAATTAAGAAATACGTTTAAGAAAAATTGTATTCCAATCCTTTTTTTATTTAACTTGTCAAAAAGTCAGCCAAGATTTTACTGACAGCTAGTAATTTTTAATTAATTCAAATTTAGAGAGTAACTAATTTGCAATTGAGTTAGCTAAGGTATAATTAAAAATTATCTGAAATAGTTTCCTAATTCCAAATTGTATCAATTACATTAGGCATTTAAAAGATCGATTCTTTTTTCCGCTTGAAGAATGGTATAATAATATTTTAAGGTACATGTTACGGAAAAGTCGGAAATTATTTAAAGTTTAAATACAGTTTCAGTTCGATAAATATACAATGGCGAAAAAATTATGTTGACTCAATTCAAGTCTTTATTCTACCCAGTTGCTACACTCTACATAATATATACAAAGCTAGAAAAGGCAGCAAAATGAGAAGAAAATTTACATACAGAACACTAACAATGAGGCTGGAGTCCCATGGTAGCGTTTTGCGTTGCGTTTTGTAACTAGGCAATGAGTGCAAATAGAGCAAACATATATCTGTATCTCTCTCACACTCATGGCCTAGTTACGAAACGCAACGCAAAACGCTGTCATGGGACTCCAGCCTCACATTTCGAAATTAGCCGGCTGAAGCTAGCAGTCGCACTTAGCACCAATCCATGGGCGCCATTAAACTTAGTAATCTATTTAATGAAATTAATAAAAAAAAACTTACTAAATTTGTTATTTAGTGGTTATTGATTATCAAATAATAATAATACTCGATGATTTTTTAAAGCATTAAGTATTACTAAATTTGATGGAGAGGCATATTAGTGGTTGACGCCTAAAGCTTCAGCCATTTGTCATAAAGTCCCAGTAGACTTAAAAGTTATGTAAGAGAGCGAAAAAAGGTGGCAAATTTTATTTTCCCCTGTCTTTGAATGTGGTGCAAATATACTTACCACTACGATGGAGTAGAGAATTTTTGCTTTGAGCTCAGGGGCGTCTCGTAGGGGTTCTAGGGCATCGAGTGCATCCAATGTGTGTAAATGTGCATGAGCGTAAAGGGCTCCATATCTTTCCGCGAGTCGTTCAACGTTGACGTTCACATCTAAGTTGGATAGGTTTTGTAACGCTTCGCTGAGATTGCCTCTGGCAATAACGTTCGTGATACTTGGCTCTGGTGTTGGACTACAACTCTTGTCAGTGTGATATCCGGCGCTACTTGATTCTTCCTCGTAGTCATCGCCACCACCTAGATTTTCATCTATATGAATTTCCTGTAAAAAGAAACAAAATTTCTCTTTTATATATAAAGTCTTTTTTTCTTCTCATGCCTTGATTTTTTATTATTAGATACTCAAATATATGTGACGCGACACGAGAAACACATGCTAAAATCAACGCAACGCAGTCATTCGCAGACAAACGCAGAGTTTTTGGATCCTATTGGTAGGCCTGTGCGGTAAACCGGTATACCGGTTTTTTTTTCGGTATTACTGGAAACCGGTTTCCGGTTATGTATTCCCGGTTTAAGGTTTTGTTTTTTTAACCGGTTTTATTTTTTAAACCGGTTTTTCAAGAAATACCGGTTTTATTTTCTAGACCGGTTTTTCAAGAAATACCGGTTTTATTTTTTAAACCGGTTTTTCAAGAAATACTGAATCTAACCGACTTGCGCATTATGCCTGCGCTAGGCCTGTGCGGTATTAAAAATCCATAACCGGTTTTCGGTTTTTGAAAAAACCGGTTCTTCAGTCGGTTTTCGGTATTAAAAAAAATACCGGTATTTTTTTTTAAACCGGTTTTTCTCGAAAAACCGGTATTTTTTTTCTAAACCGGTTTTTTTTAAATACCGGTATTTTTTTAAAATACCGGTATTTTTAAATACACCGTTTTTTGAATATACGAGTTTTTCAAATACCATTTTATTTAAAAAGAAAACTGGTTTAAGAAAATTTGGTTTATTACAAAAATCAGGTTGTTTTTCAAAAACAACATTTTTAATTGATCTGTTAAGTAAAAAAAATCACTGTATGTCTAATAAAAACAAAAAAGATTAATCTTTCTCAATCATCTGTTTCTGTTCTGGCGTTATGTCACTTTTGCGCAGGCATAATGCGCAAGTCGGTTAGATTCAGTATTTCTTGAAAAACCGGTTTAAAAAATAAAACCGGTATTTCTTGAAAAACCGGTCTAGAAAATAAAACCGGTATTTCTTGAAAAACCGGTTTAAAAAATAAAACCGGTTAAAAAAACAAAACCTTAAACCGGGAATACATAACCGGAAACCGGTTTCCAGTAATACCGAAAAAAAAACCGGTATACCGGTTTACCGCACAGGCCTAAACTGGAATGGCTTTTTCACCCCACTCAACTCTAATACAATTTTTTTTCTCAATTTTTACTTTTTTTCATAATTTGTTCAAAAAGTTATTTTTAAAAAATGCTCTTTCTCGAAAAACTCGTGAACGGCGTCGTGTCTTTTCGTGCGTGTACGTTATTGATATAGGCTTTTACCCAATGGGAAATTGCCAATGCTCACCATTGGCTAAATAATGGACCAATATTGCCCAGGTGCGAATTTAGGTTGGCCGCCAGAGTTTCAAGGTTGGCCCAAGGTTGGCCTAACTTTGGCAAGCGAAGTTTTGGTTGCCAGAGTTTGCCCAACTTTGGCAAGTACTAGTGCCCACAGTTGGCCCGACTTTGCAAGCCAACCATTAAATGCAGAGTTTAACCAACTGTCGGGCCAACTTTGGCGACAAAGGTTAGCACAACTCATCAAAACGTAGTTTAAAAGACTTTCAGTTTCGGTTGGCCGAACTCTGGGCCATGGTTGGCCCGACGGTTGGCAAAACTCAAGAAAAGCAGTATAATTGACTTATAGTTTTTTGGTCGGCCGAACTCTGGGCCACGGTTGGCCCAACGGTTGGCAAAACTCTAGAAACGTAGTTTCATTGACTTAAACTTTCTTGGTCGGCCGAACTCTGGGCCACAGTTGGCCCAACGGTTGGCAAAACTCTAGAAACGTAGTTTCATTGACTTAAACTTTCTTGGTCGGACAAACTCTGGGCCACGGTTGGCCCGACGGTTGGCAAAACTTTGTGAAACGCAGTTTAATTGACTTACATTATTTTGGTCGGCCGAACTCTGGGACACGGTTGGCCAAACGGTTGGCAAAACTTTGTCAAATGCAGTTTAAATGACTTAAACTTTCTTGTTCGGCCGAACTCTGGGCCACGGTTGGCCCGACGGTGGGCAAAACTTTGTGAAACGCAGTTTAATTGACTTGATTTTTTTTGGTTGGCCAAACGCTGGGCCACGGTTGGCCCAACGGTTGGCAATACTTTGTCAAATGCAGTTTAAATGACTTAAACTTTCTTAGTTGGCCGAACTCTGGGCCACGGTTGGCCCAACGGTTGGCAAAACTTTGTCAAATGCAGTTTAAATGACTGAAACTTTCTTGGTCGGCCGAACTCTGGGCCATGGTTGGCCCGACTGTTGCAGCTTTAATATACATTTTGCGTTATGCACTCCCATGTGAGCATAGCGTAGTGGTCAGTGTATATAAGTCTTCGGTGCGTTAGGTTAGGGGTTCGATCCCAGCGAGCGTTAGATATTTTCAAAAATGTATGTATGAGATTGTGTTTAGTAATAATAGGTAAAGGTTATATCTGATGTTCCTGCTAATAATAACCTGTTAATTGTTTAAATAATTTACTTTTTTAATAATTTTTTACCTTTGGCTGTTGAAGTTGGCCAATCTTTGAAAATTGTGGTTGGCCCAACTTACGCATCTAAAGTTGTGCAAACTTTGGCGTCAGTATTTGGACCAACCATTGAAATGTATAGTTGGCACAACATATGCATTGTAAGTTGGGCCAACTTCCTTATGAGTTGTCGGGCCAACCATCGTCGCCATTAGACGGCGAACCGTTATCATCTGTATGGTTGGCCCAACCTCTGGCACGAGAAGTTGGACCGACTTTGTAAAAGTTGGCCCAACTATGGGCCGACCAAAAAATCGCACCTGGATGGCTGCCAACAGTTTTTTCTTGGTCAAACATTGACAACCAATATTGGGCTATTATTGCCAGAGTCTTGGGATGATCACGACTTTGCCAAGCATTGGCAGCCAATATTGGATCACTATTGGCTGACAAGGCAAATGCCGGACTTTCCAAGCCTTGGATATTCATTGACAACAAAGATTGGGGCAATATTAATGACCAATTAATTATCAATGCTTTAAAATTAAATAATGCTTGGTTATTTCTTGGTTACCAATACTGAACCAACGTTTGAAATCAATATTTTACAAATACCAACATATAGCAAAAATTTTTCAAAAAAATTAAAATACTAACTTAATTATTGATTAACTTTTAATCAGAGTTGGTGAAACTGACCCTTACTGTATTGATAAAAATCACAAAATATTTGCCAAGTACCCCTGGGGCGTAATGGCTAGTTTTTCCCGGGGCGTGTTGGCTAATGCAATACGCTATGTATAAAGAACAACCTACCATATCGGCGAAGTGTAGGTTCGTTTTCTTGGTTACTTGTCACTTACACAAAAAAACTTGGACTCATTTTTGTTGCAACTCAAAATGAGTCCATGTTAAATGACATAGAACGTGGCGCCATCTGCCCTACTCATTTTTGTTGCAGCTCATAATGAGTCACTTTTCCGACTCATTTTGAGTTTAGTTTTTTTCTGTGTAGTTTAAGTATGTTTTGGTGTTTTTGTCAAAATTTTTAAGTTTTGGTATAAATTTTACAAATAGTAGATTTCAAGCTACGATTATAATGAGAAATTACAAAAAAATGGAGAGTGCCAATATCACAGGATATTATTGAAAAAGCGATGGGAGAGGCATTGCTAAATTAAAATTGCACTCACGGAATACCCAGGAACCTTAATTTACAATATACAATAAGATTGGAAACTGTAGATAATAATTAGCAATCAATATTCATTACGCCCCGGTCTCCCCTACATTTTTAGGTTAAAAAATAGTTTAAATTATATATTATTATTTTTCCTATAATCGTTGTTGTTTAAATAACAACCTCCAAAAGATTTTATCTTTTTAAATGCTTCCAATCAAAAGTTTTTTGATTTTGTCACATTTTTTATTACGGAGAAACTTTTAAGTAGTTGCTGTTTATAATTCTATGGAAAAACGACATATGTTGTTTTAGAAAGAACGGAATAATTTTGGTAAATTTTTTTAACACATTCGTACCCAATGGGAAATTAACCATTGGCGCAATAATGGTCCTATTTTGGGAGCCAGCAGTACCAATGATGGTGCAATAATAGCAACTAATATAGGACCATTATTGCGCCAATGGTTAATTTCCCATTGGGTACGAATGTGTTAAAAAAATTTACCAAAATTATTCCGTTCTTTCTAAAACAACATATGTCGTTTTTCCATAGAATTATAAACAGCAACTACTTAAAAGTTTCTCCGTAATAAAAAATGTGACAAAATTAAAAAACTTTTGATTGGAAGCATTTAAAAAGTTAAAATCTTTTGGAGGTTGTTATTTAAACAACAACGATTATAGGAAAAATAATAATATATAATTTAAACTATTTTTTAACCTAAAAATGTAGGGGAGACCGGGGCGTAATGAATATTGATTGCTAATTATTATCTACAGTTTCCAATCTTATTGTATATTGTAAATTAAGGTTCCTGGGTATTCCGTGAGTGCAATTTTAATTTAGCAATGCCTCTCCCATCGCTTTTTCAATAATATCCTGTGATATTGGCACTCTCCATTTTTTTGTAATTTCTCATTATAATCGTAGCTTGAAATCTACTATTTGTAAAATTTATACCAAAACTTAAAAATTTTGACAAAAAAACCAAAACATACTTAAACTAAGTGACAAGTAACCACGAAAACGAACTTACACTTCGCCGATATGGTAGGTTGCTCTTTATACATAGCGTATTGCATTAGTCAACACGCCCCGGGAAAAACTAGCTATTACGCCCCAGGGGTACTTGGCAAATATTTTGTGATTTTTATCAATACAGTAAGGGTCAGTTTCACCAACTCTGATTAAAAGTTAATCAATGATTAAAGTCATTTTAACCGCCCATAATTGGTCGGTTAAGGATTTAATCATTGATTAACTTTTAATCAGAGTTGGTGAAACTGGCCCTAAGAGTGAATCAAAAATTTTCAATTGCCCCTTAAAAACAAATGTTTCAAGCTCAAAACGTGATTTTAGTTTTTTTAAAGCTATATTTTTGAAAAA